TTGGGAGTTGGGGGTGGAAGCTGGACCCAGTAGAACGGTTACAAACAAAAAGTAATTTTTAAAAGTAATTTTTAAATGGATGCTGAAAAGGGAGGTGATGACGTACAAAACTTAAAATGAACCAAAGGTAAAACCTAAGACAAAGAAACACAAACCCGTTCTTTCCCACCATTCCTTTCCCTCTCTTGAAAACACACATTCCCCGCAAAACGTACCATTATCTCCATATTCAAGTCTGACAGCTAAACCAAGAAGCCAGTCAATTGCTTCTTGTCGATCTTGAATCTTGAAAGGACAGTTAACATCTCTGAGGTACTGTGAGGAAAAAAAATCTAGTTTCATTATTACTATAAAGTCACAGAATAAAAAAATGTTAGAGTTGAATGAGACCTCCGTTTGGAACGCTAAGGATCTCTTCTAACATTTACATCACTAAACTTTTGATGTAATTGTATAACCCCAAGGAAGGGAACATTTCAGAGTACCACTTAAGTAAAAAAATGAACTATTTCCAGCATGCTTTTCAAAATTTTTACTTTTGCAGATTCCAAGGTAGGGCACCATGGACCTAGAACAACTTCCTCATCTTAGAGAAAACTGCGGCCCAGAGGTTAACATCTGCCAACGTTACACAACCTAGATCTGGGGCCAGAACCCAAACTTTCTGACCCAGGTCTTTTTTTTTTTGTGAGGAGATCAGCCCTGTGCTAACATCTGCCAATCCTCCTCTTTTTTTGCTGAGGAAGACTGGCCCTGGGCTAACATCTGTGCCCATCTTCCTCCACTTTATATGCGACGCCACCACAGCATGGCTTGCCAAGCAGTGCGTCGGTGCGCGCCCGGGATCCGAACTGGCGAACGCCGGGCCGCCGCAGCAGAGCGCGCGCACTTAACTGCTTGCGCCACCGGGCCGGCCCCTCTGATCCAGGTCTTGACACACAGACAGCAATTAAATAAAAAAAAAAGACTTTAAGGAGGAGGACACACAACTGAACCAATTATCACCTGAACCTTAGCTTTTGTGTTGTGGAAATACCACTGAACAGAGCAAGCATGCGACACATATGTAGACTAGAACCAGGCATTTTATTTTATTTTATTTTTTTATTTATTTTTTGTGTGTGTGAGGAAGACCAGCCCTGAGCTAACATCTGATGCCAATCCTCCTCTTTTTGCTGAGGAAGACTGGCCCTGGGCTAACATCCGTGCCCATCGTCCTCTACTTTACACAGGACGCCGCCACAGCATGGCTTAACAAGCGGTGCGTCGATGCGCGCCTGGGGTTCTGAACCGGCGAACCCCAGGCCACTGCAGTGGAGCAAACGCACTTAACCGCTTGCGCCACTGGGTCGGCCCCCAGGCATTTTAAATAAATGTCAGAAGCTGCATATCCAAATTGAGTACTGCCCTTCACATGAGTCTCTTAGGAGCTTAAAATCTAATTCCAGCAACAATGCTATTACTCAAAACTTCTGCAACTCCTTTTTGGAAATAAGTAATGAATCAGCACTTTTTAGCCATAACTAATTTTCTAACCAAAAATTGTTATCCCCTTGCTTTAAAAAAAAACACCTCATACACAAGATTTGGTCATGATGCAAAAAGCAAATCCACCTTCAAAGTATAAAAACTGTCAATATTAAAGATATTCAAAAATGTCTCAAGATCAAAGTTGTGGGGCCGGCCCCGTGGCTTAGTGGTTAAGTGCGCGCACTCCACTACTGGCGGTCCGGGTTCGGATCTGAGGTGCGCACCGACGCACCGCTTCTCCGGCCATGCTGACGCCGCATCCCACATACAGCGACTAGAAGGATGTGCAACTATGACATACAACTATCTACTGGGGCTTTGGGGAACTAAAGGAGGAAGATTGGCAATAGACGTTAGCTCAGAGCCGGTCTTCCTCAGCAAAAAGAGGGGGATTAACATGGATGTTAGCTCAGGACTGATCTTCCTCACAAAAAAAAAATAAAAAAAAGGAAGAAAGAAAAGATCTACAAGTTCTTCCAGAGGAAGTTCCAAATACGCTTTAGGAGATGCATCACCCTTCCAGGAGTCCACCTTGCAGGAGAGCACCTGTCTGGACGCTAAGTTCCAGTATCTCCATACATCCTACTCAACTGTCACTTCTGAGTGTTTTGCATCAGACGATTTTTTATATTCCTCAAACATGCTTCTACGTGTGGAACTTTACGTTGTCTTGTAGACATGAATGGGCCATAAGATGTGATACAAATATAAAATCCTAACAATACATTTCAAAGTCTTTAGAAGCCTATCAAAAATTTCAACAATACTTTTTAATAGCAAAGGCAAACACTCCAGTAGTAGCAGTAGTGGCAGCAGATGCAGTGGAAGTAATAAGCACATAGCACGGGCCAGGTGCCTCTGTGCACAGGAGCACATCCCTCAGGAACAGCACACGTGACCCCATGAGGCAGGCACCACTGTCACCCCACTCACTGAGGGTAACACTGAGACACAGATGGGTTAATACACTTTCCTGTGCTCACAGAGCTAGTGTGTGACTTACACAATTCCCTAATTCATAAAATCTCTGACTCTAAGGAGAAAGTTAGCTACCTAACCACTTTGCTCCAGCAAATGAAATTTAGTCACTTTTCATATTTTTAAAAGAAAATATCTTACTCATCAAAGTAACACAGCCAATGAAAATGTCTAATGTAAATAATGATACTGTAAAATGTGATTTTTATTCTAATTTGAAAATAACTTTTTCTGCAAAAGTGTTCCTAAAATTAAACTAAGTCAATGGGAAAATTATTCTGGCCACAAAAATAAGATATACATACATGCCTTTTTAGGATCATTTCTATTGGACACAATAAGGGACATCCGTGTATGTTAAATGTAAGCATAAACAAGACATCACCTTAATTCCCAACGGTGCCAATAACGTCCTATTTTAATATAATACTGTAAGCGTATTACTACTACACTTTTATTCTAATGTAAAAATTCTGATTTGGGCCATTTTTACCATTTATAGAATATATGTCACTGTTTATTTAAGAAACCTCGCAGTGTTTCCATACAAAACTATTTCTTCTAATTCTGACAGCTTGGTAGGAAGAGATAATATAATCTGCTTTAAAAACAAAACAAACATGCTAACAAAATGTTAAATCCCTGAAATCCAGCTTTCCTAACACTGATCGTTATTATTTTTATTTATTTTCAAAGAACAAAGTAACGTTAATCTTGTCTTGATGTAACTTTCAGAGAAGCCCTCTGTACTTTTACCCCACGTTCCAGTTCATTACCTTTTCAAAGAACTTGGGCCAGTCACTGCTGTGGATGTTTCTTAAACTACCTCTGTCTTCAATTTTGTAGTGTCTGATTTTCTGGTCTTCAAGCCAAACAATAAAGTTTCTAAATTCTGTTTCATCTGCAACAAAAATATCACAGAAATCACTAGAAGCACTACATAAAACACTTCCTTCTCCACAAATAAATGGTCTTGTGGGATTTTTTTTAACTCCAAAACAAGAAGTTAATCGAGCTGCTCGAAGTAGGAGCGGAAAGCGCAGACCGTGGTCGAACAGATTGAGAATGTTCTGTTCACACGCCGGCCCGAACTCCAGGTCCGACTCCAGAGCCCTGGGGGGCGTGAACTCGGGAGACTCCTCTCCTGGGGCCTGGGGTCACATCGGGCCGCAGGCCGTCACGAGGGTGAAGTGAACTCAACAGGGATCAAGAGGGGCGGGCAGGCAGCTCTGCCATCCGGGCGTCAGTCACAGTGCTGCGGCCGCGGAGGGGCCGGGGGGCGCCCCTTACAGCGAAGTAATAACGAGCGCGGAAGGACAGACGGAGGCAGACCCGCTGTCCCGGCCGCCCCCGCTCCCGCGGGCCACACCCGTCTCACAGGCGGAACGACGGGGCTGCAGCCCGGACCCAGGCTCCGCCGCCGCCGGCCCCT